CACTAAATAATTTTCTTCATAGTACCACAGGGACCTAATATCTCCAAGTCAAACAGATAATTGGTTCTTGATTTGACACCAAGAAATGAATCAGTAAGTTATCAGAGGATGACTTCATAATTGCAGAAGGGTTTTAACTTGCTTGCCTTTTTGGGAAATGAAATTATATTTTCCAATAGACATATCTATCACAGTACCTGACAGAGATGATCAATACATCATCATAAATAAAACCAGCAAGCATACCATAGTGATTATTTGCACTTTTAATGCATTTGTTAATCTTTATTGAATAGATTTATTGTCATACAATGAAGATAACTGGGTAAAAGCTCTGTCAATCATATGGAAAAACATAAAGGTCACTTTTATAAGTAAAACTTTCAAGTTTGCACTTAAAAAGCAAACTAAACAAAAAGCACACTGGCAAGGTGGTTTTCACAGAATGACACACTATATTCAAAACTGAGAAAATGAAACAATATTGATGCCCCATTCTTAAAAATTAGTCAGATTTTTCCCCAAAAAATAAGGTAGACACTCCTAGTGCTGAGTTCTGCTGAAACTTTAAAATATATATTAAAATAAAAATACCAAAAGTAGACAGCTCCACATAAAATGAGAACACATTTCCCTAACAAAATTCAGAAAGAGTCCTGATTTCCCCACCACTGAAATCCTGTAAGTTTCATTGGGCTAATGATGCTTCACTGCCCTACTCTGTTATTAGTGGTCAACAAATGTAGATTCTGAATCTACTTTTTTTCTATCCAATTAAAGAACTACATTGGTGATGAGGCAGAAAATGAACAAATTAAATGCAAATACTTTAATTTTCAGAAATTTTGATTTTTTTCATTATTTTACCTCTCCCCAAATTGAAAGAAATATTTTTGAAATGTTTCTAATAAATTAGTATAGAAAAATTATGTTTGGTACATTAACAGAAGCTATCCATTTTCTCAAAGTATAGGAATTTCAATTATTTATTATTTGGTTTGTGGTCATTTGTATTATCACAATTGCCATAAAAATGATAACTTCAAAATTAAGCCTACAACTAGAGATAAATAACTATATTTCTATGAATTGTCCATGAGGCAGATGTTATCCAAACATCTCTTATAGATTTCCATTATTCATTATTCCTGAAAAATCACTTCAGAGACAAAACAATTATTTGTTTCAAATTTGTGACAACATCTTAATACTTCTGATAACTATAATCAATAGCAGGTAGTAAGACTTGTTTTCCGATGTGTTATATTAATGTATTTAAGTAATTAATAATGTATTTTAAGATAATTCTATTCATGTGTAAGTTTAGTGAAGAAATCTTAATAACACCAGAGATTGCTTAAAAGTGAAAAAATATTATAATTTGAATGAAAATGGCTGATGTTGAAGGTTCCCTTCCAAAAGAGAAATTCTATAAATCAATAAACTTAAAATTTGCTTTTATTACTAGGCATTTATCTTCATAAAAATATAACATTTAATTTATATCTAATAGTATAGTTCATTTGTATATTATAAGTACTACAGGATTTTTCTTAGCTTATTCTTAAAAAAAAAAAAAAAAACTACAAGATAACACTTTGGCTCTCCTGAACTGAAAATAATGAAAATGTTGTTCACTATGAACTGCTTAAAAAAAGTACATAGGCTGGCGCCATGACTTACTTGGCTGATCCTCTGCCTGCAGTGCCAGTACCCTGGGTTCTAGTCCCGGTTGGGGCCCCAAGTTCTATTCCCAGTTGCTCCTCTTCCAGTCCAGCTCTCTGCTGCTGCCCAGGAAGGCAGGAGGATGGCCCAAGTGCTTGGGCCCTGCACCCGCATGGGAGACCAGGAGGAAGCACCTGGCTCCTGGCTTTGGATCAGCGCAGCATGCCAGCCATAGCAGCCATTTGGGGGGTGAACCAATGGATGGAAGACCTTTCTCTCTGTCTCTCGAGGTCTAACTCTGCCTGTCAAAAACAAATATAAACATACGACCTTGGGAACATTTTTTGAGGCACAAAATCCCTGACATGGCAACAGAAGTACATAAGGACATTCAACACACACGGGTCCTTTCTAGCATGTCACATGACAACTTGTAAGATTTTCTTGGTAATACTCAGGCAATAATCATGTTCGTGATTCAGAAAATCAGATGAGGTTGCAAGCAATGAAAATAATAGGTGATCCTAGTAGGAAGAAAAGCTTGAAGTCCTTTCCTTCTTTCCTTGAAAGCCCTAAGAAAGGGTGCCTTCTTCCACATGAGGGGCAGAAGCACTAAATCTCAAAACTAGGTGGTGGGAGGAGACCTGGAAATTTAGGGACCTCCTGCAAGCCTGCATGCTCTCTATTAAACATGGTTTATCCCCTCTGAAACTCATGGGCACAGTTAATCCAGTGATGAGAAATTCAGCAGTGAGAACAGGTGAGGCCCTGCAGGAAGTGATCAGGATAAATCCATTCATGTGTTCATGGATTAACGCCTTATCCCTAGGGGACCGCAACATAGACCACTTTGGATTGGCCCCCTCTGCACCCCTTCTGTCTGTCCGCTGGTCTCTGTGCCACCCCAGGACTCTACCAGCAAGAAGATCATCACCGGATGCTGCCCCTAGACCCTGCACCAAAACCATGAGGTCAATAATACTGCTTCCTTCTCACACACCGAGCCTGTGCTGCTGCACGATTAGCAACAAGAAAACTGACCCAGACCCCTACGCCGAGAGGCCTGCTTGAGATCTGCTGCCTCACTCAAGGAAATCGGGTCATACAGTAAGTTCAAGTTCTTCCTCACCACACAGAGATTGGAAAGCTGATGCCCCAGGGTTCAAAGAAGCTGCAGGTGGGGACTGCACACCACCCCGTGGTCCTGACGGCCAGCCCACTGCATACCGGAGTCCTAGCATCCTCCTGAGGGCTCCTGCGGTGTGGGAAACACAAACAGTAGCACTGGCTGAGCCGCCTGGAGCCCCTCTCAGGAGATATACCTTGTTCAATGACTGTACTTTGTGTAGTTCTTCTTGTCAGTGTATACACTTTAGAAATTGATTACAGCAGAAAACACATACGAACATGTTTCTTTATGCCTTACTGTGGAAAGTTTGACTACAATGTGTCATGGTGAAGATCCTTTCAGGTCATGTTTCTTATGTGTTCTATGTGCTTCCTGTACTTGGCATCCTTTTCTTTCTCCAAATTGGGGGAGTTTTCTGTGATTATTTCACAAAAATAGGCCTTCTATTCCATTCTCTCTTTCTACATCTTCAGGTACTCTTAAGACCTGTAAGCTGGGTTATTTGACAGTTTTTTAAAAAGATTTATTTATTTATTTGAAAGTCTCAATTACAGAGAGAGGAGAGGCAGAGAGAGAGAGAGAGAGAGAGAGAGAGAGAGAGAGAGAGAGACAGATCTTCCATCTGATGGTTCACTCCCCAATTGGCCACAACAGCTGGAGCTGTACCAATCCGAAGCCAGGAGCCAGGAGCTTCTTCCAGGTCTCCCACATGGTGCAGGGGCCCAAGGACTTGGGCCATCTTCTACTGCTATGCCAGGCCATAGCAGAGAGCTGAATCAGAAGAGGAGCAGCCAAGCCCTCAAGTTGCACAAAGATGTCATTGATTCCTTGTGGAGCCTCCAAGTAACAGATCTGTCAGTTGAAGTACCTTTAACTCTCCTGTGGCTCTCACTGCCCACAAGGTCAGGAACAATATCCAGGAAAGAACTCCAACACACCATTGCATTTGAGAGTTTATGGTATGGTCACTTACATGCTCCATAGAGTACAATTGACAAATTTCTCAATTTCTATTCATGGAAAACTTGAAGCAAGTTTACTCATCAGTAAAATGTGTGAACCACTGAGAGTAGTTCTGAGTTAAAAAACTGGGGAGACATTTATCTTTGAGTCCTTTCCCCCTAAAGATAAGAATAGACCCTAGTATGTGTACAGTTTATGTGTGTGTGTGTGTCTTTTTGTGTTTTTACTATTTATAAGTATTTCCCATATTTCACACATTTGCAATATGGCAATATTTCTACAATATCAAGGGTTACATTTATTTTAAAAATATTTTGTCAGTCTACATTGTAAAAGAAAAGTGAACTCTAAATCAATTTTTTGACTTTCTCCTGTTGTTTTTCCCGATGAACTGTCCGGTAATTTTGAATTTACAAGAAAGTAATACATGCATAAGCACTTTGCTTAAGCAGAAATATCATAGAAAATAAGTGTGTGCTACATTTGAGTTTCCTTTTCAGAAAAATTTCTTCCTTAAAACAATCTCATGAAAAATCCCTTGCCAAAGTGTCACTATTTATATGGGCCCTGAAAAAAAAATCACATATGACTCCTCTGCTTTCTTTTTCCATCCTTTATCTCTATTTTATTTTTCAATAATATGATTGTGTAGGTAATGAAAAATTTATCTTCATGCCTAAGTATCTATGTAAAACTTACCTACACAAGTCTTGTGTTTGCCCATAACCTCTATCCATAAACTCCTACAATATAAAGCATATCCTAATGTGAATTCATATTCAAAATCCAATATTCTAACTTGCTGTGTTATACATGCTTGTTCTGGGGCTGGCACAGTAGTGTAGCAGGTAAAGCCACTGTCTGCAGTGCCAGCATTCCATATGGGCACCGGTTTGAGTCCCAGCTGCTCCACTTTTGATCCAGCTCTTTGTTATGGCTTGGTGTGGTGGAATGAGAGGGCCATGCCAAGGTGGCCACTGGCAAGGGAGCATCAGTTACTCAGGAATGGCTTTGAAACCCACCTGGCAACAGGCTGTGATTGAATGGCTTTGGAAACTGCCTGGCAACAGGCTGTGACTGGATGGCTTTGGAAGCTGCTGGCAGGCTGTGATTGGATGGCTTTGGAAACTGCCTGGCAGGCTGTGATTGGATGGGGCATAGACTGCCCCTTGACCATATTGGCTTGTCTTGGCTATATAAGAGGTAGTTTCAACTGAAATAAACAAGTCTGCCAGCTGCTCACCTCAAGCCTGCTTTCACTGGACTCCCGGGGTCTGTGTAGTGACTCCGCGCCTCTTGCCCCCACCACGCTGTTCCTCTCAGAAATGAATCCACTGCAACATTGTTGAGAAATCAACAGCAACAGGCACCCACATCTGCCAGTGGTTCGGATCCTGTCCAGAGAACCCCCAGGCTCAGCCACGGAGGCCCTGGGCAGCTGCACTGAGTCCCGAGGCTGCCTGGGAAGGGAGAGGAGAGAGCCAGCTGGCCCAAGGACAGAAACAGGAAAGAGGGAGTCTGGAGCTGCAGTAGGGAGAGGGAGGGGCCTGGCCCTGAGATCCCAGGGGTGCCCTCCAGTGTGGGTCTGGTGCAGTGGGGCAGATGTGGTCCTGAGGCAGGCAGAGTGGCAGGTACCTACCTTGGCTGACGCTCCTCAGGGACCACTGAGAGGGATTCTGAAAGACAGCTCGGGAGCCTCCCGGAGTTTTGTCTGCCCAGGAAGACTGAGGAAGGCCCACCTGTGGGCTGTGGTTGGGGTGGGGGAGGGCTGGGGGTAGCTGTGACTGCCACTGTGTGGGGGGCACATAGACATCCTCCCCACATTGGGTGGGCTCAGAAATCCTCACGGGATGGAGGGCGTTGGCACCCACACAGAATCGGGGGTGCTGGCACACTCACGGATTGGAGGCCGCTGGCAACTTCACGGGTCAGGGGGCACGGGCACCCTCACAGGTCGGGGGGCACGGACATTCTCACAGTGTTGGGGGCCCAGGCACACTCACAGGGTCGGGGTGCTGGCATCTTCTCTGGTCGGTGGGCGCTGGCACTCTCACGGGTCGAGGGGCCCAGGCAACCTCAAGAGGTCGGGGGTGCAGCCACCCTCATGGGGTTGGGAGGCGCTGGCACCCTCACGGGGTTGGGAGGCGCTGGCACCCTCACGGTTGATGTCTACTGCAGCCCCCCGCACGGGGTCGGGGTCCGCAACCATGCTCACGGCTCGGTGGCCTGGACATCCTCACTGGTCGGGGGGCTCAGGCACACTCATGGGGTTGGGGGGTCGCAGACTTCCTCACAGGTCGGGGGGCGCAGGCCCCCTCACGGTCCGGGAGGCACAGAAATCCTCACAGGGTCTGGGGGCTCCGGCACATGCACGGAGTCAGGGGGCGCAGGCACCCTCACTGGTTGGGGGCGCAGACATCCGCGCGGATCTGGGAACGCAGGCACACGCACGAGGTCTGGCAGCACAGACTTCCTCACGGGTCCGGGGGTGCAGCCACCATGACGGGGTCGGGAGGTGCTGGCATCCTCACGGGGTCTGGGTCCGTAGCCATGCTCACGGTTCGGGAGCGCAAACATCCTCACGGATAGGGGGGCGCAGGCACACTCATGGGGTTGGGCGGTGCAGGCACACATACGGGTCGGGGCACAGACAACCTCACGGGATGGGGTCTGCAACCATCCACACGGGTCGGGGGGCGCAGGCACACGGATGGGTCGGGGGCACAGACTTCCTCACGGGTCGGGGGGCGCAGGCACACGCACAGGGTCGGGGGGGCGCGGGCTACTCACCGTGACCGGAAGGCCCCGCGGCAGCTGCGGCCGGGTCTGCTCAGCCCTGGAGGGAAGCGTGGGAGAGGCTGAGGCCCCGGAGCTGCTCTGAGGGGAAAGGGAGCCCGTGGGGGCGCGGGAGGAGGAGCCGCCGGGAACTGGGCGCGCCCGACTGGATCCAGCTGGGCGGGGACAGACGCGCTTTCGGGATCAGCGTGGGGCCCCTCGAGGAAGGGCTGGGTGTGAGAGGGGCAGTGTATGGAGGACGTGAAAGGGACCCCCGAGGGGATTTCTGAAACGAGAACGTCTGGGGCACATCTGGGAGGAGTCAGAAAGGGCTCGTGAACTGATGCAGTGTCCCCTGCTCTGCGCTCCGCCCACCTCCTGAGCCCTGGGTTCCGAAGGCCCCGGTTCGGGGGCGCCTGTGGAGAAAGGGGGTCCAGGGCGCGGGCCGGAGAGCGGCCTCTGGGGTCCGCAGACTAACTAGAGAAAGCTGCGCGCGCACCCAAGGGAAATCGCCCCGCCCCCAGAGTGGGCGGTGACAGCTGCACGCGCAGCTCCCATTTTGACGCCTCGGACCACGCCCTTCTTTGTTTCATCTTTCTCACTGACCAATGGGCTTGAAGTGTGGCGACCACGCCCACCCAGCCCCGCCTAGTTCTGCCCTGAACGGGCGTCTCCTGGCTCAGTCACACATCTGCGCGGTAGCTGCTGGGAGCAATTCGCATTGGTTGCCGGGATCGTGGTGATGTGGCCCCCCCTCCCCCCCGACCCCTCCCCGCCCCGCGATGTCGGAGGAAACTCGACAGAGCAAACTGGCTGCGGCCAAGAAAAAGGTAAAACATCGGGTCGCGCCCCCCGGCCCAGCCCACTGCCCGTCTGATTGTCGGTCCGTGGCGGGGTCTGTGCGGCTCCTCAGACACTCGGGTCGAGCCCGAGCGCCCCTTGGCTTCCCCCACCCAAGTCCTCTCAGCCAGCACCACCCCCTCAGCACCCAGCCCCCGCCCTGGCTTGTCGCCCCTGGGTGACTTTGGGCCATTGGCTCCTGGGGCTCCTCGGCCCAGCCTCAGACCTCACCTCTGGCCTCCCGAAGCCGGACCTCCTTGGGGTCTGTGGGCTCAGTCTCCAAGGACTCGGGTCCCTACCCTGTGCCCCACCTCCCCCTGCGCAGAGCGTGGGTAGGGCAGAGTGGGATGTAGTGAGGTCAAATCCCCCTGGGGACTGGCATTACCTCCAGCTCGGGCTTTGATCTCCCGGCCCAGTCCCCTAAGTCCTCACCCCCTTTCGGCTTCCGCCTGCAAGGGGACTGGGGACTTGGGGACCCCCTTCCTCAGCTCGGACACTGACAGTGAGATGTGTCCCGTTCCCGGGGAGCTGGAAGTGTGGGCAGTGTTTCTGGGTGACTGCGGGAAAACTGATTTGGTTTTCCCCCAGGTTTCTACTCTCCAGAGACTTTGGGGGGTGTGCGAGTTCTCAGGCTCCCATTCAATTTCCCTGACCCTGGGAGCAGAGTGCCCCACACTCAGGCTCTCTGGAGTGACAGCTGTGTGACCGTCTGTGAAACAGACCTTGGGAGACTAAACTTTATAGCCTGAACCCTCCCCAGGGGAGTTTTTGAAGCTGGGTGAGGGCACTGCCACAGAGGAGCGAGGGAGCAGCTTGGTGAGGCCATCCTGTGGCTTGGGACGGAACCTGTCAAGACATCATAATGGGCCCTTGGCTGGAATAATGCCTGGGTTCTACTCTTTCTCCTCGGTGTCCAGGGTTCCTCGGGGTGCCCCTCGAAGTTCTGTGAGGTTCTGATATGGAAGAAAGGACCCAATGTCTTGTTTCCAAACCACACAAAGTACAATTCCTGACCCCATAATGTTTAACCTTCTACCTCTACCTCTGGTTTTGCTCCCAGCAGCTGCTGATTCTTGGCAGAACCCCAGAAGTGAGAGTTGGAAGCTGATTTTAAATTCCATCATTCCCTTTTATTGAAGCCATGTTGTCAGTTCTTCAGAGGTTAACTGATCATTCCAGCCCCTTGAAGGGTTGTCAGTGGCATGAAGTCAGTGGTGGACATGAGAGTTCTTGTGAACACTGTGAAGTAGGATGTGACCGCAGGGGCTTAGGGCATTCCAGAGAATCAACTGCTTTTCCTTTCCACAGTTAAGAGAGTATCAGCGGAAGAACAGGCCTGGTGGTCCTGCAGGAGGAAAAAAGAAGAAAAACCTTAAAAACGGCAGTAGCCCTGAGACAACCACTTCTCGGGGTTGTCACTCAACTGAGGATGTGAGTCTTGGCTGGACAGGCTGCTGGGGGCTCGGGGGCTAAGGGGCAATGGGGGGGGGGGGGTTGGGGATCCAGAGGACAGTGGAAGATGGTGGAAGGGAGTGTTAGCTACTGGTCAAGGATTCTGGGTTTGAATGCTCCCTTTCCCTCTGCTAGGGATATGATGTAAGGCAAACTGTTCAAGCTTTCTGGGCCTCTCTCTCCACATCTGTGAAACAGATAGGGCTGATGTTTTACTCACAAAGTTTGAGAGTTTTTGCTGTTCTCATATTAATCCAGAATACAGGGTCTTGTAACATTCATAGTCGCTGGTATTTGCGACTTCCTCATCCCTGGCCTCAGGAAAAGCCAGGTCAGCAAGAGCAGCCTGGCCATCAGGCTGTCCCCTTAGGAAGCCCCAGGCACTGGGATTCGGCCTTGGCTCTGGGTGACCTCAGAAAAGTCACAGCCTCCCCTGAGCTTCAGTTTCAGGCTGTCAGATATTATTGGATTGGAACAGTGTCTTCTAATTGTTGAGCTGTAGCCTCCCTTGTTCAAGAGAACCCTTCTGCAGAAGTCTGGTTTTAACATGGAGAGTGGGGGTCGTGTCTGGGGGAGGGTCTGAGAGCCGTGCTGGTCAGTGACTGCGCTTCATGTGACTCTGGGGCCTGGGGACTTTTCCCTCTGTCTGGTGAGGCAGCAATGGCCAGTCTGAGAGGATGGCCTGGGGGGCCACGGTGTGGATCTCTGCTCTTCCTCAGCCTCCGTTTCCTGACTCCACCTCTTCCTTCCCCGACATCCTCGCCTCTCTCTAAGCCACGTCTCTGTGTCTTCCCCTGCCCTTGTTTTCCCCTTTTCACCGCCTCTAGATGCAGGCCATACTGAAGGTGCTGGTGTCTGACCTTAACCGTTCCGATGGGGTAGCGCTGCCCCATAGGACAAGTGGAAGGGGAGGCAGTGCCGAGACCCCCTCTCTGGCTTGCTGCCTCGCAGGTGTGCATGTCCCTGAGGCTTGTCTCGTTTGGGGGAGCCTCTGCCCCTGGCTTGTTTTATGTTGCTGCCATTAACCCTCGGCCTGCTTATGTCTGCTTCCTCCCCTGCTTGGTTAATTGCATTTTTTCCCTTCCCTCGTGTCTTTATCATCTTGGAGAGGGTAAGGCACACCTCAAAGATTCGGTAATTTGGGAATAACTTTCAGAGCAGGTCTGTGGGGTTTTGGGCTTTGAATGCCCGGTGCGGTCAGACCAGGAGATATTTGAAAAAATACAAACTCTGTTACATTTTGCCCTCTGGGCAAGTAGACCAGATGGAAGTGAGTGATTTTTCAACTTGATGAATTCCATTTTGGTTTGAGAGTGAGAAGGTAGAATTAAGAGAAAATGAATTGGCTTTATAATCGCAAGGATGGAGGTCAGCTTTTCAGAGGAACTAACCAGCAAGGATGTGAGGCTACCCAGACAGACCAGTGCTAGGACACTCTGCCTGCCCCTCATCTCTTTGACAAATCAGATGGGACGCTCAACCGTATTCACTGGGCCCGTGGACGGCAAAGGCATTGGCTGCACAGTGGTGGAAGTAGAAGAACAAGACAGGAGACACCGTGGGGGTGACAGAGTCCTCTGAGAGGGGCAGGGGAAAGGCGGCAATAGGCCAGCTGCGTGGCTAGGTGAGGGAGGTGGGTTCCGAATGGACTTGCAGCTTGAGGAGGTGGCATTTGAGGCCAGTGTGAAGATTAAAAGTGGGTAATATTCATCCACGTGGTGAGTGGGGGAGGCAGAGGGAGCAAAGAGGTCATAGGCAGCATTGTGAGGTCATAGAACACCTTTCAGGGCTGCAGGGAGCCTGGGTTGGGGGAGGGGCAGGGCACAGGCACATGGGGCTAGGTAGGCCATAACCTGCAGATGATGTTGGCACTTCCTGTCTAACTGCCCCAGGGCCTTCAGCCAAGCCAGTGTAGCAGGGCTGATCCAGAGATGGGCCTGGGGAAAGGGACAGGTGGCTGGTCAACCATCATGGCTGCTCCCACCCAGTTAGGTCTGGCCAGGGGCCGTGACTCACTCTATGGCCTCAGAGGAGACACCAAGTGGCATAGTCTGGGCAGGGCCCAGGCACGGAGAAGTCCTGACAGCTGTGTATATGACTTCTAGGAGCTCAGTGTACTTGAGCCATCACCGTGTCTCCCTAGGTTGGCATGAGCAGGAAGCTGGAGTTAGAGCTGGAGCTAGGCATCAGGCTCGGGCACTCTGAAGCGAGGTGTAGCCTTCTCATCTGGTATCCCGACACCTAGGCTAAGCTCCCACCTTAAGACTTAGAATTGTGAATTGGTTGTTCACAAAATAATCACGATACATAGATTCAATTTTTATTTACTTATTATGTATTTGAAAAGCAGAGTTACAGAGGAGAGAGAGAGAGAGAGAGAGAGAGAGAGAGAAGTGTTCCATCTGCTGTCCACTCTCCAAAGGGCTGCGCCGGCCGGAGCTAGGCTGATCGGAAGCCAGGAGCCTGGAGCTTCCTCCAGGTCTCCCACATGGGTTCAGGGGCCCAAGGACCTGGGCCGCCATCTGCTCCCTTCACAGTCTATAGCAGAGAGCTGGATCAGAAGAGGAGCAGCCGAGACTTGAACTGGTGCCCATATGGGATGCTGGCACTGCAGGCGGTGGCTTTACCTGCTAAACTACAGCACTGGCCACGGTACCTATATTTAAAATTGCTCAGAGGAGCTGGTGTTGTGGCACAGTGGGTTGAGCTACTTCCTATGATACTGGCATCCATATGAGTGCTTGAGTCCCAGCTGCTCCATTTCTGATCCACTTCCCCGCTAATGTGCCTGAGAAATCAGCACAAGGTAGCCCAAGTGCTTGGGCCCCTGCACCCATGTGGGAGATCTGATTGGTGTTTCTGACTCTTGGGCTTTGGCTTGGCCTGGCCCAGTCTGGCCCATGGTGCCCGTTTGAGGAGTGAACCAATGGATGGAAGATTCTCTCTGAGTTCCCTTTCTCTCTGTCACTCTGCCTTTCCAATAAATAAAATAAACCTAACAAGTCAAGGAAACTGCTCAGAGAAGTGCTCTCCTCACTCCCCTGTTGTTTCTGTGTCTAAAATAGAGCTCAGTGGGAACTAAGATGCTAAGAGGGACCTGGGTCCATGGCTGGGAGTGCAGCCTCTCTAAAGTCTCATGCCTGGCCCGCTGCTCTTACCTGATAGATGCAGTCACAGACGTTGTCAAGGCAACAGTGGGTTCTGAGGACAACAATCGCTGTGGGCGGTGGGTTCCAGGCCATGGTCACGGTAAA